CATCCTTTCCCCTCGGAAAGGTGCGTCGGGCTTGTAACCAAAGAGCGCGCACACACGCCAAAAAAAAACCCCAAACCTGCCTTGCGTCTAGAAGCATACAAAATATCCAGATAGTGGGACTTGCGTTTGGGATTTGTTAGTTCTCTTGCTCATGCCACTGCCCCATGGTTGCCTCAATGGCAGGATCATGAAGTGTTTGACTTTTTTTCTTCTGCTTCCAGAGACCTTAAAGAAGTCCAAAAAGAGTGTGAGGTCAAACGGCAAGGTGCCAGGATGCTATGAGATAGTGCCCCTGTCCCTGAAGAAGAAGATGGCTGCAGAACTTTACCCTGCCAGCACCAACACCAACATTGCAAACAGTAACGCCGCCGCCGCCACCGCTGCCAACAGCAAGAAGAACGCCCTGCAGCTCCAGCACAGCGCCCAGCCGCCCCCGCCGCCCCAGCTCCAAAACCTCAACAACAACAACTTGGAGAGCGCCAACTGGCAGTCCTTCCATCCCACCCTGCGGGAGAGGTAAGGGCCAGGCCCCGCCGGACACCGGACCCTCCCCGGGCGGGCGGGAGAGGTGCCCGGCCCCGTGCACCTGTGCCAAGGGCAGGCGCAAGGGCTGGGCTGCCCTGGCGAGGGCAGCCCGGGACGGGATGGACCCCCGGGGGGCGGCGTGGCCGCCAGGTGAGGGGCTGCCCAAGGCTAACGGGGCTTCTCCCCCCTCCCCTCGCTTGCAGGAACGCGCTGATGTTCAATAACGAACTCATGGCTGACGTTCACTTCATCGTGGGCCCGCCGGGGGCATCCAAGAAAGTTCCTGCCCATAAGGTTTGTGCAGATAATTTTTGGCTTTTTAATACTGCTGCACATCTTGCCTTCTCCCCCCTGCCTTACAACTAGGTTCTTTTTTTTTTTTTTCCTAATCACAGCTCTCGTTTAATCCCTGAAGTAATTCATATACACTGCAATTAAAGGGAACAGTCTAAGGCAGTCTTCTGCCTCCACTGCAGCTTTTAACTTTCCCTAAGTGTAGCTCTTATCGAAAGCCAGCACGCTCAGCCATTACCAGTATGCATTACTGAGGCTTCTCTCTCTGTTTTCCAGTATGTTTTGGCAGTTGGTAGCTCTGTCTTCTACGCTATGTTTTATGGCGATCTTGCGGAGGTCAAATCTGAAATCCATATACCAGATGTGGAACCTGCAGCCTTTCTAATCCTATTAAAGTAAGTGGCCACTACAAGTCTTACTAATTACGTGGACAGAATCAAAGTAGCTTATAAAATATACATCTCCTAATTGGCAATACGCAATATGCACTTACTACTGTTTACTTAATGCGCTGACAAATACTCAACGTCAGATTTGCTGCCAGCAGAGATGACCATAGATCAATCTCTCATGGCCTATATTTTTTTTTTGTTGTTGTTCCCTAAGAAACTATTTCTTTTTTTCCCCATCCAGATACATGTATAGTGACGAAATAGACCTGGAAGCTGACACGGTTCTGGCTACACTGTATGCTGCCAAGAAGTACATCGTGCCGGCCCTAGCGAAGGCTTGCGTCAATTTTCTGGAGACCAGTTTAGAGGCGAAGAATGCTTGTGTCCTGCTGTCTCAGAGCAGGCTCTTCGAGGAGCCAGAGCTGACGCAGCGCTGCTGGGAAGTGATTGATGCTCAAGCAGAAATGGCACTGAAGTCAGAGGGCTTCTGTGAGATAGATCAACAAACACTAGAGATCATTGTAACCCGGGAAGCGCTCAACACCAAGGAAGTGGTAGTCTTCGAGGCTGTTCTCAACTGGGCAGAGGCTGAATGCAAAAGGCAAGGGCTGCCAGTTACGCCACGCAACAAGAGGAATGTATTAGGAAAAGCTTTGTACTTGGTGCGGATTCCGACCATGACTTTGGAAGAGTTTGCCAATGGAGCTGCCCAGTCTGACATCCTCACCCTTGAGGAAACTCACAACATATTCCTATGGTACACAGCCGCAAACAAACCCAAACTAGAGTTTCCCTTGACAAAAAGAAAAGGACTTGTACCTCAGCGATGCCATCGGTTCCAGTCGTCTGCATATCGCAGCAATCAGTGGAGGTACCGAGGGCGATGTGACAGTATTCAGTTTGCCGTAGACAAACGGATATTTATAGCAGGACTGGGATTGTATGGGTCGAGCTGTGGCAAAGCTGAATACAGTGTCAAAATCGAACTGAAGCGCTTAGGAGTTGTCCTTGCTCAAAATCTGACAAAGTTTACCTCCGACGGCTCCAGTAACACTTTCTCTGTGTGGTTTGAACACCCTGTGCAGGTTGAGCAGGACACGTTTTACAATGTAAGTGCTATTCTTGACGGTAATGAACTCAGTTACTTTGGGCAAGAGGGAATGACTGAAGTGCAGTGCGGGAAAGTGACGTTCCAGTTCCAGTGCTCCTCGGACAGTACTAATGGAACCGGAGTACAAGGAGGACAGATACCTGAGCTCATTTTCTATGCATGATGCATTTCACCTTGATTGTACTCCAATACTGCAATGAGGCACATTAAGGGATTTTTCAGTTTTACTACGAACTCTGCAGCAGTATGGAATGTTACGCTACTTACCTATCTGCTACATCAGGCTATACAAATAAGTGAAGGAATGCTCTTGAATTTAATCTTATTTTATTTATTCATAAGCTATTTGACTTAATTATTAAGACTGCAGCAAGCAGAAAAATGTTAAATTTTGCACGTACTGTGCATTTATTTTGTATATAGATAACTAACTTGCAGACTGCAGCTGACTTAAACAGAATGTTCTAAACTAGAGCAGTTTATGAATCTGTGAAATATAAAACATTTTTACTTGCCCTAAATCTTGTGTACTTGCTCATTGATCTTACGGCTTGTGTCTGTTAATTCATCTACAGTACAGCTAGGGGTGATGATACTGTAGTCTGTTTCCTGTCTGCATTAGCTATTACTGCAGCTGCAAAGGTTCCCTTGCCTGGTAAACTGAAACTATCCATCAGCAGCCTTTATTTTCCTTCACAAAAAGGAGAGCTGACATACAGAAGCTCAGGGATTTTTGTGTGTTGCCTAAGCTGAAGGTAGACAAACTATGAGTGTAATGAAAGTCAATCAAAACCATCCTGTGGTTATATCTGAAAGCTTCTAATGCCCTCTCAAACCCAGCATCTGTTTTTAACCTCCAGCCTACCCAGCAAACGGCAATGCTGACACTTCCACCTGTCAAACTGCACCCCACTTGAATGGCCAGAGTCAAGACATACAGATGAAGCTTAATGCAGTGACAGGCTTTATCAGATTTAGCCCAGAGCTGTAATAGTGGCAGCCCCTATCTAAATATACATCCCCTCCTCACGGTTAGGAGGAGACATTAGAGAAATACTTGCACTATGGCCTTTAAATTCAGTCAAAATTACTAACTGGAAATAAGCCACCTTAAACAAAAGCTGCTGGGTCTTCCCCCTCCCTCTATTTTTTCTAACAACATAGTTCCTTTCATTCATTATCAGCAGTCATTTTACAGCTAGTGCCCTCAACTTTTCTCCAAGTGATAAAAGTAGGTGTTTTCCTCATGTGTCTGACAATCATTACAGATAAGCCAATTAGAAATACTGTTCTTTACAAGACAGATTTATAATGTCCTTGGAAGGAATACTCAAACAGCAGTCTAAAGCAGTATTTTTTTTTATGTCTAACAATTACTTCTACATTTAATTTAGAAGGGTTTTCTGTTTGCCTTTTCCTAAGCTGTGTTAATTTTCACCTTGAAACTAAGCTGCAATACAAATTCTGCCTGTTCTCTCAAAAAAACCCCAAAAGTAATGAAAAATAAGAAAGCAACTGTATCATTGAGAACAAGAACTTTTTACCAGACGCCAAGCTATGCTAAAAAGCCAGCACGCCATGACGGCTGATAGCTGTGCCCTGCCACGTACTATCTGGATGCCGTTATGACGATGCTCCGTATGTGAGCTGCTGGTTCTCCTGCTGCAAAGGCAGGCAGTTACGTGCCCAAATGAGTACATCTGAAGGGGTGTGCAGTGTTCTTGGACACAAAGGCGTCTGATTCTCTCAATACAGATTAAGGAGAGTAGGAGTGAGAGTGGGTAAAGATACAGGAAGAAAATTGCTGCATAGAGGTGGGTAACAGTCACAAGACCTCTCTATAAACGCACTCTTTTAACTGGAATGGGCATGAATTCACTTGGCTTAAAAGCTACAGCCTAGACAACAGCTTTTTTACCCTTTAACAGGTTTAAACCCACCTTCCTATCACTGTGTTAACAATTTTGCTGATGACTTAGTAATTAAGAAGTTATTTGCATTGCTTGGAAGAAGTTGCTCCTCATTTTCGGTCAAGCCACTTGTATTTCAAGCACTGAACACCTCAGCTACAGGTGATGGACAGATAGTAAATTTGGCAAATATTTATCAAATGTTGCATCTCTGTGGAACTGAAGTATGACAGGCCTGTGTGAGCTTGTAGACGCACATAGATTTATTATGCATCAGCCCATTGTCTTAGTATAGCCGAAACTACGCTCAAAAAAACCAACAAAACTATTTGTAAAAGAAAATAGCATCTAGCTCCCAAAAAACTCTTACATAAAGGAGCACAGGCTCTCATAGTCAGCAATGTTCTGCCTGGACTGATGACAGCTCCGTTTTTAAGTTACTGCTTGGTATTTAGCAAACAACACTACGTATATATATATATATATGCACACATACATATATATTCTTGTCAAGTAACCATGCAGAAAATACATCCAAATACCCAAAAGTGAACTTGTAAAAAAAATACCTATGGCTGGAGCATTTATGCAGAGTTCTCTGGCCAACAGAAGGAAAGTTTTTCCCAGCACATAGACATTCACCTATTAAAAGACAGAAAACCATTATTTAAATCTTAAACCACAAATGTTTTTAATAGAACATTTATATGGAAAGGAAAAAAAAAACCACCCAACTTCTGAAATCTTAAACAACGTGCTTTAAAAAAAAATCCAATTGAAGTAATACAAGCAATATTCATAGGTATAGAATAATACTTGGTGCTTGTCAAAAGCTGCACAAATTAGCATTGTAAATCAAAGCATAAGTTTACACTGAAAAAAATTACAAGAAGTTGTTCATCATGCTTTTCAGTGGGTTCAGTGTTGCTCTGCAGTACTTGGGACAATTTTTCAGTTGTCACCTAACATCTTAAAGCATTAAGTAGGCTTTAATATAATACCAGTATATATAAAGCGTCATTTATCTTGTAACGTAACAAAACCTGAGCAAATACTCACGAGTTAGTGCAAATTTCAGCTCTGCGTGATCATGTGAAGTGGGATAATTAAGTATTGCACAAGCACACATCAAACTTTTCCACCAAAGCAAGGAGTGGTGCTACATGCCTCAGGGGTTATTTGTCATTTCTTACTGTTTGGACATTGCCCCAGATCACCCTACTTTAGAAAAAGATAAATTCAAAAACCACCCTAAATCACACAAACCTGCTAAGGAGTCAGGGACAAAGCCCTGCTCCCCTCCCCTCCTTCCCTGCTGGCTCAGGAGGATGTTAACTGAGGGGAGGAGTTACTCTTCATACTCTCATTTGCAATTTATAGCACTGGCAACTACATTTGTATTTTAAAAGTCTGAGGAAGTTTTCTTTCACTATCTTAAGATGTGTTTTTGTGGTCAGCAAGAAAGGCAGGATATACTTCAGTTCCTAGTCAGCCCCAAACATTCCCACGAAGCTCCATGAGCACCTTGCTCCCCCAAGGCACATACAAAGGTCGAAGTTAGTAGAAAAAAACTTCATCCTACACTGCAAACATTTTTTTTTTAATTTTATTTTTAGGATAGTATATACTCTATTGCTTTTATGCAACAGAACTGTCCCTCTCTTTCCTATGCCAGGATAGTGAACGTGTTTACTAAGCAATTACACAACTGAGTTGTTGATTATGGCACAAGTCTAAGGAAGTAAAAACTCCTGTTACTAAGTATATTCTCTTTCAGTTTCAAAAAAGAGCTTTACCAACATTAGTTTAAAAGCAAGCTTCTCTCCCAACCGTACAGATGCTTTTACCAAGCTATCAAAAATATATAAACATATTTAACAAAAATAAATACTGACACATTTTCACCTAGCGTTGCACTTCGAAATTTTCCTGTATGTGAAAATGTTCTTAAAGTGAATTTTTCTCAAATTTAAAAAAAAAGAAAAATGAGAACTTCCAAGAAATCCTCCAAATGATCACGTATCCTGGAAGTGACTGCCCAATCAAGCATACGTGATATGACGGTAATTCATTCCATGTTTAGTGGAAAGTGTTGAATATCTTCCGTGCTTTGTCTGACCAATGGTTGGACTGGCCTTAAAGATACAAAAGCATATTAGATTTTACTGCCCTTTTTCTCCTGAAATACCAGACAACATGGAAATGCTATTCTATGGGAAGGAAGTGAACAAAATATACCCTTTGAATAAGAAGTATATTTTTTAGGAAATAAGTCACTAACTTTTACACAGAAAAATATGCACCTACTGAATCTGGCAATTCATGCAGGAGTTTGAGAGCATGTGACTTTCCACGAGCCACAGAGACAGAACAGACATTACTATAGCAAAATATCTGCAGTGTTTAAGTTGGCTTTAGATGCTCTAGATTCACTGCAAGTTTGGAATGGCTTGTTTTGACCTTTTGTCTATGAAATATTAACACAAAGAGTGAGGGTTTGGCTGTAGTTTCAGCCTTCTAAATTGGCCGACCAAGTTACTATAAATCTTAAACCTCATCACTTAGATCTCGTTCTGCAAGGATGGTTTCACTGCACAAATCAATGAAGTTACTTCAGTGGAGCCAAGTACATATGATGTTTCCATCAGAGACTTCACAAACTCATCTAATTCTTTCATTTTAGTCTAGAAAAAAAAAACCAAACTCAAATTGAGACGAGTTTCTCCCTCTGGCTTTTTTTCGTCACGACATCCAAATACATGATGTGTACCCTCATCAAATCATGTCACTCTCTAAGAAACTCCTCCCAAGCAAACTTTCCGTAAGTGCAATCATCAAAGAACAAATAAATATGAAGAGGCACAAAGAAGTAGGGTTCTTTAGTGAAGTTCTAACAGCCAAAGTGGGTGCTGAATTAAATCTAAAGCAAAGACAAATGCATAACAAAATTGCTCAATGACTCTTTTTTATCTTCCTGTCCTTGGCCTAACTAAAAGTCTTCGGATCCACAGCCTATTTGAGAAGTAATGTACTTAAATCTAACCTGCTTTTCCACTTCACCCACATCATCAGTGTTTTATGACCGACTTCAAGGTGTAGCAAAATAATAAATTCAAATAGAAATGGTACATCAGGGAATTTCTTTTGATCACAAGTGCATTTCTTTGCAGTTTCTGGTTACTACCAATTTAGAAAGAAAGCATGCTATACAGTGGATTACGTGCTCTATATTGTTTTTCTCATGAAGCTCACACGTTTTTAATGCCAGGGTGAAGTCACAAACATAACCAGGAATATTTAATTGCTTCCAGTTTTCCTGGAAAATCAGTAGGAAAAGAGACTTCAGGCCCTCTCAAATAATACACTTCTCATCTTTAAAAGTTACCAGATATTCACAGGTTCTGGGGCATTTCTCATAAATGGGAAATTAAAGACGACATAAAGCTCACCCAGAAATTGGTAATGACATTTAACTGCTGAAACATGGTATTTCAGAACTTCTGGTTTTAGTGGAAGACGACCCTTTCACTAATATTTTATGCCACTGTCACTAATTTCAACTATTACTCTCGCGCAGACATCCTGTGACAGATGAGATACGATAGATTTAT